CCCCAAAACCCCAAAACCCCAAAACCCCAAAACCCCAAAACCCCAAAACCCCAAAACCCCTAAATCGGGGTCAAAATTGGAACTTCGAAATAAATATTTTTCAAGGATGTTGAATGATACTAAGTATGAAGGAAGCTGGCAGAATTTTTCTGGAGAAAAGAGGTATCTAGCTGGCAAGATTTACAATCATTTGAAGAAGAGACAAACTCGAAGTTTCAGGAACAACAACTTCCGCAAGTTCCATATCCTTCTTAACAAGACGTCAAGAAGAGACACAGCGGATTCCTCTTTGGAAAGCAACCAATTTCGAATTAAAGTTAAGCGAAGCGTTGAACGACCACTTAGACTTAAGGAGATCACTAAAAGATCGATCCAAAACATCAAACTCATGCCAGACACTGTAGCAGCATCAAGGAGGAATTTGAGAAAAGGGGTTCAGACCAGTACGACAACGATGAGGTATGTTATTTCTCTAAGTTATCAGCTTATTATAACTTTTGTCAAGAATTTAATAATCTCATTCCTACTAGTATGAATAAGAAATCCTTCAGTAAACCACTCCAAAAAACCAGCATGAACCGGCTTGAGACTGAGAACAATGTAGTGAGCAAAGGCAAGAGAAGATTATATGGTAAGCACCGGATTATCAGGAGAAACTCTCTTTCACAATTTGGATCACAGCTTATTTATTTATACTCATTATTTTATTTGACATGTATAAAACTTCTTTAGAACATAAACTGGAAGACAGCGCTCACTCCAAGACCAGAGGGAAGACGTTTAATGGCAAGAATATTCATCCTCATTCTGGGTATTCAACAGCTGAAAAATTTCGAGCTACTAGACTAAATCTACCAGAGCCGATGCATTTTGAGGATCTGAGCAATCTGAGCTCCTGTAAGAGCCTAATATCTTCCTCAAGTCGTAAGTATTCGGATTCCAAGTCCAAGAGCAATATGAAGAAATTGATCCAGTTCCAGATGAGAGAGGATCAGAAGAGAGTCGTCCAGGAGGAGCATATTAATGCTTTGATGAATCTTAGTCAGAGATCGAGGAGAAGTGCAGTGCTTTCCAGGCTCAATGTTCCAGTAAGCTCCTACTCTGGTATAAAAGTATAATAATATACCATTTCTTTGATAATGTATTAAGATTTTTCCAAAGAGGGGTTTTGGGGTTTTGGGGTTTTGGGGTTTTGGGGTTTTGGGG